CAAGTTGTCCTTGCAACAGATTCTTCTCTATATAGATGGGGTGCATGTTTGATTGTTAAGGGGGATTTCCAAGAATTTGGAGATTTTTGGAGTGGTTGTGATCAAAGACCTATTCACGTGAAGGAGGCATCTGCATTACTATGTGCTTTACAGTGTGTTTGTTCTCAGATTGAAAATAGTAGAGTCGATGCATTTTGTGACAATCAAGCTGTTGTAGCTGCAAGGAGTTATCAGGGTGGGAGGGACAGTTCACTTAATCAGGTCTTAAAAGAACTTTTTCACTTAGCTTGTCAGAAAAATTTTGACCTTCGTTTGAAATACATCCCAACAAAAGAAAATCCAGCAGATGAAGAGTCTAGGAAATTGTCAAGTTCAGATTCCATGCTAACTAAAGTAAAATGGGAAATTGTTGAGAATTTGTTTGGACCTCATTCTGTAGATCTTATGGCAGTTGATTCAAATGTAATGAAAGATAGGGATGGAAATCCTCTGCGACATTTTACTCCTTATCCTACAAAATTGTCAGCGGGCATTAATGTGTTCTCACAGGATTTGTCCTTTGAAAGGAATCCTTATGTGTTCCCCCCTTTTGGTCTCATTTTCCCTCTTTTAAAGTTTTTAAAAGAATCAAAAGTAGAGGGTGTGACTATTATTATTCCAGACATTTTACCTAGACCTGTTTGGTGGCCTCTTTATTTTTCTCATGTTAAAAGGTCAGAAATTTTGAGTGTACAAGGGGAGGTAAATGCATTATACTTTCCAGGGAAAAAAGGTTTTGCAGTTAATAGGGTAGGTCTGAAGTGGTCTTTAATTGTAGCACGTTTGTGTTTCAATTCTTAGAATATTTTGTAGGTATATACTCTTCAAGGCCAAGAAGATTTTACCTGTGGAGGTGGTCAAAAACATTCAGAGGGGGAAAAGATTTCTACCTTGGAATATTTAATGGAGAGACGATTAAGTTATTTGGATCATTTGGTAGATGATACGGCATATAGTCGCCAGAAATGTTCTTTAGAGAAGGAATTCACTTATTTTTTAAGAGAGTATAGAGATGGGAAAGGATTAGTAGATGCAAATCCTGAGGATATTCGTCATTTTCTTGTTCTAAAAGATGAGAAGGGGAAAACTCAGGTGCACGATATTAATTGTCAGTTCCTTGGGAAAAAGGGTTCATTTACATGTGGGTGTCCTCACAGACTTGCAGTAGGCACAGTAAGATCAATTCTAGGAAAACTAAAAACTATTTTTGCTTCTTATGGGAAAGGGTTTGATTGGGATAGTAGGTACAATATTGGTAACCCTGTATGTTGTTCAAGTGTTAAAAAATATGTAAAAGCGATACAGTTGGAACAATCTACGTCACATGTTTGTGTAAAACAAGCCAAGCCTTTGTTTATTAGGAAGCTTAAGGATATATCAAAATATATTGCAAGCCAGTTGGAAAACCCAGTATTGTCCCTTTCAAAACGTTATGTGTTACTTCGGGACCAGGCATTCTTCAAGATACAGTTTTTCTCAGGGGATAGGGCACATGATCTTGGTTTAAGTTTATCGCAGGAGGTTATCATTTTGGGAGATGGTAAGGGCCTTATGTTTTCTCATACAGTAGGGAAGACTTTAGGCACGGGAAAGGTAAATGAGTTTATGGTTCCTAGGGTTGAAGAAAGTTTGCTCTGTCCTGTGATGGCTTATAGATCCTATGTTGAGGGTTCTTTGGATATGGGTGTAAATTTGAAAACAGGTTATTTGTTCCGTACTCTTGATCCTTCAAAAGGTTCAGTCACTGACTACCCGGTATCCTCAAGTACTATGTTTGAACGTTTGAAAATTTATTTGTCAGTTCTGGGAATAGATGAAGGGGAAACTCCACATGGGATTAGAGGTGCTTGTGCAATTACTTTAGCAACTTCTGGTGCAGTGGCAGGGGAAGTAATGGAACATATTGGTTGGGCTACAAATTCCTCATATAAAAGATACAGTAGGGTGGGGAAAATGCTCGAAGGGGGTTCTGTGGGGAATATCATGACTAAGCTTGCGACAAGTGATTTTGACCAGTCTGAGAGAGTATTTAAAAGTTTAATGGGTGAATAATCGTTTCCTCATATCTTACTTAGAGATGATTATTGTCATATTGCCTGCTTAGTGGTGAGCTAAATAAAGATGTTGTTTGCATTAAATTTTTGGCTGTTTTCTTTTGTTAATTTTGAGATATAGAGTTTCTTTAAGTATTGGGTGAGTATTGGGTAAGGCTGGAGAGTTGTTATGTAAACATGCTTAATAATTTATGAGGATAATTTGTCCAGTTTTCACTCTTTTACCCAATACTTAAAGAAACTTGGTCATATTGAGCATAGACTTTACTTAGAATATTTTTATATTCTAAGTTAAGTCTCGCGAGATGTGACTATATTTAAATCACTCGAGTGGCGGCTGTTGGGGGGGTTGCATGGAGAATGTTTTCCTGCATCCTGCGGAAATGAACGGGAAAAGGTTTTAGTCTGTTAACATGGTTGGAGAGAAAAAAAAAAAAAAAAAAAAAAAAAAAAAAAAAAGTTATGCTCAATATTTACCAATGTTTTCACTCTTTTACCCAATACTTAAAGAAACTTGGTCATATTGAGCATAGACTTTACTTAGAATATTTTTAATTTCATTGATATTATCATTTTACACATTATATCAAAATATTGATCCTGAACACACATGCGCTCGGTGACTTTTACTCAAAATATCGACGAAATATGTACATTTTTCTGTAAAATTCATAAAAAACTGAAATTTACGTCATGTTTGTGACGTCATTACGTACATATGGCGTCATTACTTATGAAAATATTCAGTGCTTTGAAGTCAGCATATACTACCCTATTTAAGAACTTGATTAAATATATCTCCATCAAAGTTTGATTTGGGGGGCAAATATTGGTTATTACCGAATAAAGTTTTTTCACAGGTGTATTTCTTTTGACATGTCCTCTCTTTGAGTATCACCAAATTTGACCTCTTGTTCTTGGAATTTGATCTACATTTGCAAGAAATAGCACACTTTTCCCTCGGCCATAACTTTTGAACAGTAGAAGCTAGGGATTTTATACATCACATGTATACTCATTGTGACAAGACCTATAAGTGGGTATAAATATTTTTGAGCTTTTGACCATAGAGTTTGACACACTTTTTAAATACTAAGTTTAACATAACTTTTGAACCGTTAGTATTAGGGATTTAATTTTTCACAGGTACATCACACCTACGAAATTATTTTCACAGTATATTCCTGGTAACAAAACCTTCCTTTGGATATCAACAACTTTGCATAAGCTGCAACAAGGAATCATCAGTGTTTCACAGATACATCTTCTCTCAATTTTGATTGATTGATAGTATATTAATTACGTCCAATTCGAGAATTTTTCTCTAATGTTGAGACGTCACTTAAACCATTGAAGGGCTTCAAATTGTGACCTTTACTCGGCACTCAGGGCCATTGAGCAGTGAGGGTTCTTTATTGTGCCAACGCCTGTCGTGACACGTGACCTCGGTTTTTAAGGTTTCATCCGATGGACCTGCAACTTTCACTTCAAGTGCCGAGCACATGGTGAAAGGACGGTTGCTACCCATTTTATATCGACTTAGCTCAGTCGCAGTCGAGATTCGAACTCAAAACCTCCCAATCACATCTTCAATTTGAAGTTATGCTATTAAAACATCGATTTTTATCATACCATTTGTAGAGTAACTTTGCAGCATAACTGCGAGTTTCAATGTCTCTCTCTCTCTCTTTTCTCTCTCTCTCTCTCTCTTTCTCCCTGAAAAATGACTAAAGAATAAAAAAAATATTTTGTGTAATGTGGTTATTGCGCATTGCTTTGAGTGACGCTTAGATTATATAAAAATCTAATTATATATCAAATTCACACTTAACCAGGATTGGAATGAAGTCAAAATCATGAATTGATACTTGCATATTTAAGTAGGAAAAAGTTCAGCAAATAGTCTGTTGTACACAGTACGTAGTTTAATAATTAATTAATAATTTTCATACTTAAGAATGAAAAGAGTGAAACTTTCTCATTTCAAGTAGAGGTGTTTCGAAAGGTAACCTCTGAAATATTTTACGCATAAAAAAGAAAGCACCTCATATTGAATAAGTTTATAGTAAAACAAGAAATACATTAGAGACTTGAAATATATAAAAGTAATATCATCTAGAACAAGATGTGTTTGTGAAATACTGATGCCCCCGTACGGCAAAATAGCAAAGGTTATAAAACATTCTCAAATTCAAATTAAATACATTTATGTTGGTACCCAAAGTAAGGCCCTCTCACAAGAGATACAATTTTGAAATATAAAAATTCCCTTGCACCACCTGTTCAAATGTAATGGTCAAAGTAGTTTTTCTAAAGGTAGGTCAAACTCCAGGGTCAAGGTCTGCAGGTCAAAGATGTTGGTGTCCAATGAAAGGTCTTGCCACAAGGATTACATAATTATGTGAGTATAATAGTCCTAAGACTAACCGTTCAAATGTGGTGGCCAACGTAAAAGTTTGTTATCTTTATGTAAAAGCGTGTCAAAATCCAAGATCAAAGTTGGTGATACCTAAAGAAAGGAGTAGTCACAAGGAATACACCTTTGAAATATGAAAGCCATAACCCGAAACAGTAAAATGTTATGGACAAGGTTATTTTTTTTCTGACAAACAGACAACAGGACAGACAGACGTACGAGCAGGGCAAAAACTACATACCCTCGAATCTTCAATTTTTTGGGTGGAGAGGGCATAAAAATCATTCAACATGTGGTATATTTATGCCATCCACATTTTTTTTTGTCAGCATAGCATATTATATCTAGTCATGAAAATCATCTCGTCAAGTCAAGACAACTATCTCGTAAAGTCATAAAAACTTTTTGGTTTGTCGTCAAACACAAATTAAACTTGACATGATCTTTTATGTTAACAAAAACTATTAGGATATCATAAATTTATCATCACAGAGAACATTTTTTATTCACTAGAATATTTGAAAACCAGAAAATGTACATATTGGAACATTATGTGAATGATATCTTCCTGCACTATTTGCAGTCCTGGTCTTCACTTTATCACCACGTTTGAGCTGAAGTAGTGCCACGTTTGAACCCGCTTGTTCAATGTTTCCTGGGACTGACACAGAGTATGCAAGCGCACGAACTTTGGTAACGTCATTCAATACAATATCTACCCATATGTTGTCTTTATTTCCAGAGAGTATTGAAATATAGAAAATAAAGACGCCATCTGTCGGTGAGGTAAAGACACCAGTTGATGGGTCATATCCTTCACCTTCATTGTACACCACTTTTGGAAAAACAAGAGTAACATTTTTCGATGTTCTTTTGCCGGAAACAATACCAGCTGTGAATCCAACATTTGGGCGTATGTCTATAAAAAAATATATCGAATAATGAGGAGTAAATAATGCGTAATTACAATAATTAAATGAATGAAAATTTAAAAGTTGATTAAAAATAGTACATGAAGTCACTAAAGAATTGGAACTATTGAAAATTAAAGAGATTAAATTTTTTCGTTTGTTTGGCAGAAGGTCACCAAAAGGTGACTGAAAGGAAGAGTTCCGCCATTAAGTGATATTTCCAGATCGTTCAGTGACCATTGAGTGACCTTTCCAGATTTTCAGTAAGCTTTCAATTACCTTGTCAGATTCTTCATTGACCATTCACTGACCTGTCCAGATTTTTGGGACCATTAAGCATCATTTCTAGATCATTCATTGATCTTTCCAGGTCTTACTTACCATCCAGTGACCTTGTCATATCTTAAATTGACCTTTCAGTGACAATTCCAGATTTCTCAGTTACGGTCAATTTGACTGAATGGTACATGTATAGTTTTATTAAGTGAATAAAAAACATTTAAAAATCAATCATTCCACTCCTCATTTAAGAAATTAAAAGTATTTTAACAATTATTGTAAAGATAATCAGAAACAATTTTTGACGTAAGGAAAATACATACATTTGCTGATTGAAAGGTTCGTTCGAAAAACCTCCAATGAAGATACTGTGGATGATAACTTAAGCTGGTCATGATTAATATCTTTCATTTCTCCTTTCAAGTCATCAATCTTGTCAACCATCTCATCTGTAAAATTTAACATTACAAAAATAACAGAGCATTTTATTATTTAATGTTTATTTTATTATTTAATTCAATATAAAATTAAATTCAATTTACTTACCATAAAGAGTCTTATTCATTTCTAGCTGAGATTTCTCTAACTCGTTCACCTTTTCTGTCAATTTCATTTCATTCACGGAAATAGAAGAATGTTTTGTATGCAAATAGCCGATGCTTTCGTTTAAAAAGTCAAATTCTGTGCGGCAAGCTTCTTCTATGACTCCTGGAATATTCCGTTCAAGCTGAAGTGTATGCTTATTTAAGTCCAACAGCGTCACTGACATATACCGAAAGTCAATTCTTAAGTCTGTCAGGGTGTCTTTAGTATTATTTTCGAAACGTTGTCTTTTCTTGTCCATTTCTTTTTCAGAAGCTAAACGGTTTTCTTCTAGTAACGACATATTTTCTTTCATTTTTTTAATATACTCTTCCATGGCAAGCGACTGTTCCTGAAATTTTTGATTTTGTGATCGAAGTTCCCTATTTTCCTCTTTAAGTGACATCATTTCCATTTTCAAATCTGTCATGTTTTGTACCAATTGCATTTCATTTTGTTGTATGGAGTGAATTGTTTGCTTTGTTTTCACCATATCAGCCAGAAGGGATCGGATGTTTTTCACGAAGGAAATTCTAATCAGAGTTTCTTGGTTTATGAGCTGTTTCAAAACATCCTGAGATTCACAACCTACTTTAAGCTCTTTAGAATTGCTGACATTGCCATCAGTAAATGGCGAAATGGCTTCTGCTGACAAAATACAGAAGACACAACAAAAAAGTCCCACGCTCTCCATATTTGATTTATAACCTGAAATTTACCACAGTTGTCTTAGTTTATATATAGTCAGCAAAATACCCTTGATCTTTTTTAAAAGTGTTTAAAATGTTTTGTTTTTCGATCTTTTCTGAAAACACAGTTACATTATGAAGTGATCTCAAGCTGCTTTTAAGATGATTTGATGCATCAGTATATTGTGTCATCACGAATTGAAGATCTTTTGCTCAGATTTACCGGTAGTTATCAAGTGCTTGTTTAACATATAATTAAACAACAGATACTATATAATGAATACGGGATTTATATCTCTCAGTCGATTCGATATATTGCTATAAAGTATATTGCCGCATAAGAAAGGGGAAGATGACGATTAAAAAGTTTAAAACATCACGTTTATCATAGAGCTTGATTGTTAAATTACCATTAACGTCTTTTTCAAGTAAAATATCTAAAAATGAAACAGATGTGTCCAACTTTGCGGTATTTTTTTTTCTCAAGCTCACCGGGATATATTATATCTATATAATAATTGAAAGAATTATTGTTAATTGACAATACGTCGTCGATTTATCTAAATGTCAAGTTGAAGGCTGTCAATGATATTAAAAAGCCTGGAATTTATCGTGGGGAATTGTAGTGTATAAAGTAGAATAGTCATACGTTTTTAGCTGTTAAGCTTGGTAGAATCTTGTGATTTCAAATTTTCAACGTTTCTTGGAAAATTTAAGTATCTAAATCTAAATAACACCACTTCTCAATTGAAATGTTGCAAAATCCTCTTAAAGTGTCTCCTTCACTACTGTTAATATCTTAGCAAAGAAAGAGACTTGTTTGAACATTTACTGGAACCTGCTATGTATCTCTGTTTGTTAGGATTTTTATGAAGTTTGGAAATCCAATATAGATATTGTCATTCAAATTTATGTCGGTTGTTAGGGATATTAAAAATATTCAAAACTGCTTCATTTTCATATCTGTCCAATCGCCTGGCGTACTCTTCTACAGAATCCATAATATTTATGAAATTCCATTGCCATTTGAAGGATTGGAGTTCCCTGTATTTAGTAATGAATCACAAGAGACATCGTGTATTAAAGGTTTATTGTAAGACCGATGCCCATGATTACGTTTACGTCTCTTTGCATAGTTAAATAGGTCCATCACATTTGTGGACAGGTAAACTAGATTATAAAACACTATCGACATATTGAAATTTATATTCTTTCATAGGGATAACAAGTCTACAAAGTATATTTTAATCCAACATTATTTCGTTGTCTGTTCTCAGTGATGGACTATTGGTATGGTGGTAAATCTTTTCTATAATTCTCAAATAACTGCCAAAACGAAACAAGGCATTAACTATGAAAAATTCATTTCCTGAATATCGAAAGTACTTCTGGTGATATTGTGATAATCTGATTTTTCTATTTTAATTAATACAGTATACATTGATGCAAGCTCGGTGAATTTTTAAAAAAAAATTGTTTCTGAATGTTATACCACATGCAAACATGCAGGTACCTTATGATTACTTATTTATATTTTAATTCACGCATTTGTTTCGACCAAATCTCGGGCGGAACGAGCTCTTAAGAAAATGGCCTTCAAATATGAGTCCGAAGTATATAAGGAGCGTAAGGCCATTAACAGAAGCTCTTACTTGTTTGGAGTAGAGTGTATGAAGTGTGTGACTTAAAATATCAAGGTTTTTTTTAAAAGATCTGTTAAATATAATTTTATACGCATTCAGAGAATATACCATGAACTAGGTGGTTTTGTTGCAGGAAATGTATTAATGATTTGCTTGGATACTTATAAATATGCAAACTTAGCTACAGCTATTGCTCGTAAAATAAAATTATTGACTAACACATTCGTAAATAAATAAACAAATCTTTCCAACTCCTGGAGTTGTCAGGGAGAATTAAACAAAAAAAAAAAAAAAACCTGTTGCCTTCACATAAATCATAGAGATCCATAGGTGACCCCAACTAACTTGTTGTCTTTGCATAGATATATAGAAATTAATACAGACTGACCCGACAGCTACCTATGAAGACAACTGGCATAATAAGCAGGGTAACTGGTAATAAATATGACTTAATATAATCACCTGCACTGTCTTACAATGAATTAAAATCAGCACAATGCCAGCATTTCCTCTAGCAACATCCATTAAACATGGATAAACCTCCATACTGAGATTTATTAAGCACCGTGTGTAGAACGCACAAGTATTGATACTTATCTACATGTAGTCCTGATTCTTTGCCTGTCCTGTCAAAGTGAAAGGCATGGACATGTTTGTAGACATTTGTTTAAGAACCGCTGTTCATGTAAAGTGTTGCTGTCTTTTATGAAAACTTCACATTGACAATATACTTGGTATCAATCACTTTGGTATTCTCAGAGGGGATGTCTCCATGATGTGTCCAGTAATTACATTAGAAAAGTTATTTGTTAAAAGCAAAAACTGTTTAAATTCCATGATTCGTCGAGCTACGTCGCTTCGTGTTGTCGTTATGTCTGAAAAATCATTATTTCCAATCTATATAAAACAGGAGGCAGAAGCCACCCGTAGTCAGTGATGGATAACAAAAATCTGGAGTTTACCAGATCGCGGGTCCTAAGGTGACTTTTCACCCGACTCACTATCAAAATGTTTTATTTACGCAGTTAAACGATATTAGGTTCTTATATTTTATTACCTGACAATTACGATGGATTGTGAAACAATTTGTGTTATACAAATAAGGGTACTCAGGAGTACAGAGAGCCGGGATCATTTACAGAGTAGAATTTTGTACATGAATCATACATTCATATTTTATTAACAGATGAATAACAAGAATTTCAGATACTTGAAGAATACATGTGTGTTACAACACTCGGCATTTATAATGTAAAAAGATTGCATATAAAATATGAAACATAAAATTTTATTTCTGAAAACATGTCGATACGATATATTCCGGTGAGACTGACATAAAAGATACCACAGAAAAGCCTTCATGCTAGCTGTTGAAAATTTTTGGCCAAGCTTAAAGTTTATTAAAAGTAGGTCAAATTTTAAGGTCAGACTCAAAAGGTCATAAAAATTTTAAGGCATTGAAAGGTCTTGTCAAAATAAATACACATGTGAAGTATGAAAGTCATAACACCAACTGCTCAAAACTAATTACCACGGTAAATTTTTGGTACTTTTTCGTAAAAATGTTTCAAACTCAGAGGTCAATGTCTAGAGGTGAAATTGATGGTACCCAAAGAAAAGTCTTGACAAAAGAACAAAAACTGCAAAATTTGATAAACCCGCCCACTCAAAATTTATGAGCAAGATTGAAGTTTTTTCGAACAGACAGAGAGACAGGCAGACAGGACAAAACCTTTATAACACCGAATCTTGATTACGAGGGCATAAAAAATAAAAATGATAAAATTTAGTAAATTCATTGTTCTTTTCTATTTTAGGAAGCAGAAAGGGAGATATTTTCATGCATCGCAGTTCCGCCAAAATGTTAAACATTACTAAATTTCAAACTCAGTTTCCCATCTTTATTCAAATTTCAGAGTTGTTATATTATTACGAGGAAAAAAAATATTTTCATATAAATATATATGACATATATAGGCAAATATACTATTTAGTCAGAAAGCAGACAAGAATCCCTCCTTAAGACAAAAGTACGTTAAAGTGTCAACATTGTGTAGAAAAACACTTAAACAATAGTTGGAAAGTCTAACTTTTGGCTAAAAGTTTAAAGATAAAGAAGTTCATGATTGAATTTTCGCATTAGCAGTTATATTTTTCGGTATATAATTTAATATAGGTATATTTGTCATTATAACAGTAGACAGTTCTCTTAAAATTAGGACAGAACGATGACTTCATGCTAAGTTATCAGTTGACCTCTCTTAGAGTACACTTTTTCTCATTGGTGGAAATATTAACCAACCAAAGACACAAGGAAGTTCATAGAACAACTCAAATTATCAAAGAGATGATACTAAGAGGTCAAGACTTTTCGTATAAATCAGATTTCAACATACAATTTTCAAACACTTTTTATTTGATTTCATTCGTATCTAATTAAAGTTAAACAAATAAGTGAAAACAATTTTATTAAAAACAAATAATGTTTGATGTATTATTTTTTCCTTGTCCTTTTTTCATATGTTAAAACCTGAATAAAAGATTTGATTTAAAGAAGGAAATGCCATGACATCATACTGAGGACAGGGAAATATTTGTCCCCGTTTTATTTTCAGAAAAGTCCATTTCGACTTTTAAACTCGGTTTTAAATTGAATTTATAATTAAATAGGGGCGAATTTAAAGTACGAGGGTTGTGTACGGTATAATTTCTTAAACAAAAGTGTCACTGGGCGAATTTAAAACGGGGCAAAATTGTTTGCAAGTGTGAACGGGCGAAAATAACCCTGTTTACGGTATTTTTGCACCCCCTCCCCACAACTGTCAGAAAAGTATGTTGACTTGTCAGATCTTTTGTTGAATTCTCAAATTCACTTGTTGAAAAAGTGACCATGTACAGTTTTGGCCATCAGTTAAAAACATATTTTCAAAGGTTAATATAAAATTTCAAAATTCCACATAAACATATGAAAATCGAATATTATCTCACAAATCACCAATTTTTGGACAAGTCGACGTTATATTATTCATTTCAATTTCATTTTTGACAAGTCGACGTAATATGACAAGCCAATTTTTCACAATATTTGATTGATTTTCAAATCATTAATCGACATAATACATGCATTATGTAGGCAATATGACATGTCAAATAAAGATGTTGACTTGTCAGAACGATACATTGACTTGTGATATAATCATGTAGACTTATCACAAAATTTAGTGGCTTTCACATTCTTTATGCAGTTCTTTATACTAATGGTATATTTGGTTTCATTTGCTAATTTTTAGGATGAATTAAACACTTTTAAGATATATTTTTCTTAGTTTTTTATTTATGTGTGATAACAAAGTGATATTTTGATGGAATAAAGGTTACATTAAAAACAAATATTGTTCAATGTTTTTAATTTTCTTTGTCTTTTTTTATTTATATCTAACGACCTCAATAAAAAAATGAATTGTTCAAAGAAGAGCGAATGCTTGCTATATTGTACGGTTATAGGGTGGAATATTATGCAGTTCTTTATACTCGGGACATCTCGGGATGTATTCTTCTATATAATGCTCTACTGTGTCATGAATTGTATCACAATGACCTTGAATTTTAATTGGAAATGCATCTGCTACACACGTATCTCTCTTTTCTCTAAGCCACACCAGTGTCTCGCACATACAATCCACCTTGTTCTCATCAAGAAGCACTTTTTCCAAACATGGCCAGACTTTGTTGATTGCCTTAGGTACTGACGTCAGTTGTGTAGATCTGAAATCTAAGGTCTTCAATCTTGGTACTCTGCCAAACGCATTCTCGGATATATATTTCAAAGAAGAATTCTGTAGAATAAAGTTTTCTAGGTAACGGAGATCCTTCATATCATTTGTGTCAATAGTTGCAATTGTGTTAGAGGATAAATCCAAATCTTTCAAATACCGAATTTTAGCAAGTGCTGCAGGGACTCGCAAAAGAGAACAGTTCCTAAGAGTTAAATTTGTAACGGTTCTTAAATCCCCGACATTCAGATCACTGAGATATCTCAAATTATTATCATCCAGACTAAAATTTCTCAATGCTGGTAGGTATCTTAATACTCTGGGGAATTTGGTAAGGGCATCCCCATTTAATGACAAAGTCTGCAAGTAAGGAGAGTTTAACGGAAAAGCCTGTATCAAAACTCCCCTGTCAGTGACGTAAGGATTTTGATCAAAGTGCAGCTCTTTAAGATTTTTTAGTTTGCTGACTGCAATTGGCACTGCCAGTAAATAGGTGTTTTTAATGGTCAGATATTGAAGCGTGGTTTCAAATCCATGAAAACTTTCAGGACCAATGTCTCGAATAAATCGACTAAGACTGTCGACAGTGAGTCTGTTAAGTATCGGTAGGTGGTGCAATGAAGTCGGCCATGATGTGAGGGATTCACTTCCAATCTTGAGGTCAATAAGGGTATCCCCAAGCGCGCGCATCACACTTTCTGTATGATCTGTACCACGCGTCATAGGATTGTGGGTAATATCTAAGGTTTCTAATGAATGTAAATCCCCTAATGATAATGGCAAATTTCTGAGTTTATTGTTGCTCAAATTAAGTACCAAGAGGGTGTTTTCCAAATCTTCAAAGGCCCCGAAAGAAATATTCTGCAAGTTGTTTCCTTTAAGGTAAATTTGTTTGAAACGGGTGCCTCTAAATTGGTGTGAATGGATATTCAAAATGCGATTAAGGGAAAGGTCGAGGTAGTCATATGACGAGGCAAAATAAGGATCTGCAGGGAATGATGGGATAGCTGAAAGATTCCGGAAGCTACAGTCCACATATCTATCCCGACATGAGCATTGCAGAGCGAGGCCACCTGGACACTGTGCTGTTACGTCAGATATTCCAAAGATAATTGTAACGAAAAATACAGGGAACTGCAAAGAAAGATATTGAAGAAAAAATTAATTTGAACTTATTCACGTTTATAAAAATAAAACATATTTTTGCTTCGTTAGATTTTCATATGATCATTATAATTACTTATCGGTTTCATAAATTTTATGAGGCAAAACATTTTTTGTACTTAATTCAGATTGAGAATTCCCACCTGGTAAGAGGCCATATCCCTTTCTCCAACCTGTTGATGATGACACTTTGTTAAATCCAATGAACAACATAGAGTTAAGACACTTTGATAAAGAAGCACATACTTTGACAGGCATACCTGAATTGTTTTGCATGTAAAACATTCTAAATTTAAGATGCTATAGTCACTATCTTTGACTGAAGTATTAACATAACATTTAAACTGATAAGGTTCTGTTTTATCTCTGTATTTCAGGATCACAAGATGTTTGATATGTCGCTCTGTCTGAGGTCTAAATGTTTCAATGAATTTTAATAAACCGTAATATTTATTCCCTTAACAATATTTCACTACATTATTTTCAAATTATTTTGACTTGATTTTGAGATAGATCATTAAGTCAATTTCATAAATCAAATTCATTCTTAATTTTTTACAGATATTGTTTTTGAGACAAATGCGCAACTCTAAGCAATGAATAATTCATTTCAAACAAGTCAATGGTCCAGGTAAAACATTAAAATCTTATTATTCAGTGACATTGAGATTGAACTTCAGCGGAGAGAATAACGCAACTGAACAGTTGTAGATCATAAAAATATTGAAATAGAATATTTAAGTGTAAAAATATTGGAAAAAAGGGCTCTATATCTTTTGCTAAAGTACTAGTATAATTCAACTAAAACTTTCTTCAGTGTCTTTTATTTTTTCTTTTAAATGTGTGTCAATATCAAGAAATATCGTTTTATTATAGCAAACATGAACTTAAGTCTAAAGAGTTATACACAACATGCGTGATTTTGAACTCCTAAGAACCTTCCAAATAATGAATTTGAGATCTTTGGTCTAGATATCAAAAACATAAATGTAGTAAAATTCTAATTGAATGGAAGGAATATAGAACGAAAAATCCATTTTATATACGTAGATAAACAATTCTCCCCTGATCCTCTCTCCTGGTGATCAGCATTCAATAATTTAGAGAAGTTATTCAGAAACGCATCTCCATAGATTTGAACTACCATAGGGAGTCGAACTATGAAATAAAGATATTAATAAAATAAAACATATATTTCTTCTTCATGCAAAACATAAATCCAATCATCTAGGTCAGATAGAGAAATGTCGCTCCCTTACCCCTTGATGTTGGCTTTTATGGAGAGAGGTACATGGAAACAGATTAAAAATGTAAAATAGCCAAATTTGTAGTATTATTCAGAGGCAGCGTAGATTAAAATGTGGATTTCATGTAGCTGGGAATACTGTAGGCTTATAGTTTTATATTTAGTTATTGACCATAACACTTTGCAGATATCTTCATGCAAATGCTGTGAAATTTACGGTGGAAGGTTTTCTGTGAAAGTTTGGAAGTGCATTCTCTACTTTTTAGCATTGGACAATCTACTATCTGTTAAATCATATATCAGTAGGTGGATACATTATACAGGTTTGTAATAAAATAAGTTTAGAATTAGGGTTTGGTAGATGTCTAATGCTGAAAACTCCAGTCATTTTTACAAAATCTTGCCGCGTAAATTACACAAATTTCGCATTACGGGACATGAAGCTCTATGGTAAAAGTCTTAAATATATTACCGCAATGCTACAGTTTTTGCGGCTAGAAATCTTGAATCCAGAATACAGTGAAACCATAATTAGAGATCAACATTTTCTATAGAAATATATACACATAAATTGTTTCATAATTTCTTTCTAAGAAACATATAATCAAAGTTTTAGTTAAATCCCTGGAAGTTTAGACTGAAGTTTTGTTAAAGAGTTCCCCAAGCCGCGTTTTGAAAAAGATCATTGCCACAAAAGTTATGGTTGAAATAACTGTCTTGCAAGAACACGTACTGTAGCTATGTTTGAATATTTTTTTCCTTATAGATTTCCTTTTTTTATCTGCAATAAACCGACAACGCAATTGATTTAACAGACAAATTTATTACATAGAGTCTGTTACACAATGCAAGTTTTGCAAATAAGTGTATGGAACATTTTGATAAAGGTTTTAACAGGCTTATACAATTTTTTGTGTTACAAAGTCGCAGAAGATTCTAATGTCCATCGTATGGTGCAATATGGCGTTCCTCCTTATACTGGGGACACTTAGGGACGTAATTGGTGACATAGTCATTGACCTTGGAATCAATCGTGTCACACTCTCCAGTAATTGTCATGGGCGTTCTATTTGTCAGACATTCCTCGGTTTTATTTGCCAGCCATACAAGAGTTTCACACATACAGTCGATCTTATTACCATCCAGGTGAAGTTGTGCGACACAGGGATGTAATAGGTTAACTGCTTGTGGAACCTGGGTTAGTTTCGTATTTTTGAAATCCAAACTAACCAAGTTATGCAAATTCTCCAGAGCAGTGTTCGATATGTATTCCAAAGATGCGTTTTGAATTTTCAAATGTTGAAGGTTCGGAAGATTCCGTAGATCGTTTTGTTCAATAGTCCTTATGGCGTTTTTTGATAGATCGAGCGTCGTTAAGAAGTCTAAGTCTGCCAGAGCTCCAGGGATTCTATCTAAGCCACAGTCGATAAGAGTGAGGTTAACAACGGTTACATTTCCACTGATGGAGGCATCGCTGAGAAAATCGAGAACATTTCTATCTAAACTCAGATTTGACAGTCCTCGTAAATACTTCAATACAGGAGGAAATTTTGTCAGTCCATCAGCGTTCAAACTGACAGTCCTTAATTTATGACTGCTAAGGGGGAAAGACTGTATTAATACACCCCTATCAGTCACTTCAGGATTATCATCAAAATGGAGTTCTTCGAGATTCCTTAATCTGCTTATTCCGATTGGCACGGCTACCAAATGTGTGTGTTCTATCGTGAGATGTAGAAGAGTTGTTTCAAAGCCATGAAACGCCTCGGGAGGCAAGACTTTCATAAATCTACCCATTTCATCAACATGTAGGCGCTGGAGTTGAACGAAATGGTTCAAAGTGGTTGGCCATCCAAACAACTGATCACTTCCAAAGGTGAAACTAGTTATTGTGTCACCCATCGCCTTCATAACATCATCTTTAAAGTCACGTGACGATAGCATAGGATTATGGGATACATCTAAGTCTTCAATTTTGTTTAAATCTTTCAAAGCCGCGGGAAGATGGTGAAGACTGTTATGGCTTAGGTCAAGGTAAGTAACCGAATCTTTTAATCCTTCAAAGGCTCCAGTGGATATTAGACTATCATTAAGTCCGTTATTTGAAAGGTAAACAGTCTTGAATGGCGCATTGGTAAAGCTTCCATTATTCAGACTTGTTATGCTGTTCTGTCTCAGATCTAACACATCGTATTCAGCGGCGACGTTGGAGGCGGAGAAAGACGGGATATGGGTGTGACCTCTGGCGACACAGTCAACGTAACGAGCACGACAAGAGCAGCCCGAGGGACAAACGGCGTCAGCGAAGGAGAGGCAGATACTGAACACCACGAACCAAATCTAAAACCGCAGCATCTGATTAATTACATTACATTAAAATAAAAATAAAGGACTACGTTAATACCCGATATTGCGCCCTCATTTTAGGTTAACATTGACATTTTTCTTTTATTTAGATTTGGTTTAACTTTTTAAAAAGTGCATGAAAGTAAGGGGATGCTCACTTTTCCATGACACCTTATCCCACTCAACTTGCTAATAGAACTTAAATATTGTTCGTTACCTCCATATTACAGAGTTAAATCGTTACTTGGATGAACCTTGTTTAAAAATTTTTTTATATTTTTATTTTTAACTTATGCATTGGAGAGTGATGTTAGAAAAAGTAAGATTAGAGTTTTGCATCTGCTACATTTTCATATAACAGTACAGTTCTCGACACCGATGTGTTATAAATCTTAGAAATGTTACCCAAGAAAAACAAAAAACAAACAGATAAGAAATATATATTATACTGTTTTAATTAATATTATTTCCTTCATTTGATCTTTAGCTATGCTGTTATTCACATCAATATGAGTTGGATAAATATTAAATTTAGAATTTACCAAAATGTTTTAAATTATGCTTCTTCTCCTTTCACTTTGGATAGGTGCTTAAGTGATGTGCATACGCATACGTTGGATTTTTCTTACTCATATATCAAAGACTCTTAATTCACTCGGTATTAATTGTCTTAATGATGAATGAAATTGGTATAAAAAGTTAAACTTAAGTACTTATTTAATTGTGAATTTTTTTCGAAAAGGAGAAAACTTACCATCTTAGTGCGCTTGACAAAGTACAAAAAATGAAATATCTTTGTTTAGAGGAGATTTTACCTCCCTCCCTGACAACAGTGGTATTCTTATCAGTCGTGAAGACACCCGGTATAATAATATTCATACTTCCTGATAGATAGTACAGCGGATTTTAAAAAAATGTTACCCTGAGAAACATGTACATCAGATGATGTAAATATATGAACATTTTGAATTGTTAGTCGAAAAAAAATATTCATAAGACATTTAACACAAAAGAACCTTCCAAAAAGAATTGAAGTTTTTTATATAACTTTTTCCCCTTCCTTATTTCCACGTTTTTGAAGAAATCATCTTATTAAGGTATATCTCAGCCCTTAAAGAAATAAATATTGAACATTCTTTTGCATATATAAATTGGCACCGATGAAGGGTGTATTAAGTACATAATAAATCATATATGTATCGTTATCTTTCACCTTTTAAATCTCAAATCGAAAGACTTCAATCGGTACACAGTAGATATGGAAATACACGTTTTTTCATGCATTTATGCTATTCACTGAACTACGGTTATAAATGAACAGTGAAAAGTGAAAAGTCTTAAATGATTCCATCGTTAAAAGTTGAAAATGGTTATTACATCTATTTGCATATTAAATATACATGTATATAATATTTGTAAATGAAACATATGGAGATAAAAATCTTTAATCAGGCTAGAAAGTCCATAAAACAATACAAAATAGCCAAAACATTATACATGTAGGTGGGAAAGGTGTCATGGAAATGTTATCCAGTTACACCCGCCGTGTGCTTGGTAGAAATAATTTAGCAATACAGTTCAAATAATTAACAATCATATGAAAAACGTTTAATTTATCAAGATAAATTATATTTGCTGACAAGGTCATTCTATTGAACATAGATCTAACGAAATGACAACTTTTAATGAGGCAGTTGATATTCTTGTTTCATCAACTTGTTTGTCAATAATTTACCTCGTTTTATAAACTGTTCAAAAAATACTTTCAACTAGAGGTCGATGTTATGAGCAATGAACTCACTGCTGAAACTTGTTTAGAGCCGGGTATCTATACTGTTTACAAATAAGGAAAAGTCCAGTGTTTTTTGCTCTGTGAATCCAGTGGTTTTAAAATTTAGCACTAATGTTAAACTTAATATGTGACACCGGTTTACTGCATATAATTAAAATTTTTAATTAAAATAGAAAGTGAAATCTACCCTCCTTCTCAGTTATAACCTAATTGAATTTTTAAAGATTCGTTCCCCTTGTGAAAGTAACACAAATAAGATGATCAATTGTTGCATTTACTTGTAAAAATATATGTATTTACACAGGAAGCGAAAAAGCGCGAACACAAAAAAAACATGACATTAAATTTTCCGCTTCATAATAATCGTTAAAGAGAGTTAAAACTATTGAATATAGTCTGTTCCCCATTCATTTGACCCTGTTATTTCATAGGCATTCTCCTCTTGGTCAAAACTTTTTTTACAAAACAATGTAAGGAACCTTTTTGTTTATATAACAATACCAATGCTGAAGCAGCCTGTATGTCATTCCTATAAACGATAACTCATAAATCGGCTCTAAGTTGGTCATTTTTCACACCTGATTTAAAAACAACATCGGAAAAGTCAATTATAAATGATTAAACCTTTTAATGATAATAAAAAGTAGAATTATTATCTTTTTTTAATAATTTCATGTACCTATAAATCTATCTATATAATGTTTTTTACCATATGTACAACTTGAAAAATTAGTTGAATGGCCTATACCGTAGAGTATACTCTTGGATATCGAATCAACTGAGAGATAAAACTCCATATGCATGTGAACAGGGTATATTGCTGCGCAAGGAAGGGAAGTTGACTATGAAAAGTTAAAGTCATCACGTTTAACATAGAGCGTGGTTGTTAGATTACTTTTAGCGTCTTTTTCTTGTAAAATATCCAAATATAAAACAGGTGTATCAGACGTTACATATGGTATCTTTTATCTCAAGCTCACCTGGATTTATCGTTTCGACATAAAAATGGAAATGACCATTATTAATTGACAATAGGTCGCGCGTCAATAGATCCAGATGTCGAGTTGAAGGCTACAGTTAATGATTTCTTTTGAACAAATTTTGCTTCATATGAATACAAAAATAGGTGTGCTGATAATGAGGCGCAATTGGTACCCATGTAAATGAGTCAAACTATTGTGAGAAACAAGTTGGTGAGACTAGGAAATACTCAGTCTTCTTTTAATTCATAATTTCGAAAGTTCTATGGATTGGTCTATACATAACCTTATTAGCAAATACAACCTTTATTAGGTTAAATGGTGATAGCTAAAATAAATAATTTTTAGCTGAATGGATTACAATTTTGAATTCAAATTCTCACATTGGTGTCCTTTAAATCTAAAGTGATAGAACTACTTCTATAGTTTTATAAGGACAATGGCTGAAAAGTAGAATTTTCATATCAAAGGACGATTAAAATATGTTATATTTTAAAAAATTAATATTTTGAGTATTCAAAACTAAAATAAGCTCAAAATTGTATATCCATCTAGATATCAACATTTTGTACTGTCTGTCTTTGAGTATGAATTATAATAAAACCCCAAAACATTATACATAAAATAACTTGAGTAAAAGAAATTGCACTTCGTTATTTAAAACTTAAAAATATTATGATTATAGTTCTTAATGAATAATACTACTTTAGAGAATATAAAAGTGGGAATTCCGTAATACAACAGACAAAACCTTCGGGCCAAGATAAGCAAATTTGTGACGTGTGGCATAAAAAGCAGGCCACAAATCACAATTTCCTGGTAGAGGAGCGCAATATTGACGTGTTTTCAAAACTTTCTTAAATTTATGTATTTGACAAGTAATAATAATTGATAATTCTTGCATTTGCGATGTTGACTGCAGTATTGGTATGTACATTATCTATTTATTTTCCCGTTTAATAGATTTTTCTTTTTATTTAAAAATATAGCACTTTTAGTAAAAAAAAACATCTACATTTTGTTTGAGATATCAAGCACTAAAATCCTACCATATGCAAAAGTTTTTCTTAAAAATCAAAAATGATTAAAGATTTTTAATATTCACTTATCTCTTCATTTTTACGATTTTTTTTTATGCATTGTAAAATTTTTATTTTTTTCAATTTGCAGTATTTTTGACATACAAAGGGAAAATGACTTTTTTCTTTGTGCAAGAATAATTTTTCCTTTTTGTTGTAGGTATGTTTTGCTCTGATATGGAGAGTAGTGGAGCCTGGAGTGGTTCAAGGAAAAAGAGCCTCGTGTACGCCTCCCATTTCACATGACGGCACCTGTAGTTGTGAAAATGATGTAGTCACGTGTACTGGACAATCGCTTGTACCGACCTTCAGCACCGTGTATCATTATCAAAAAGTTTCCATCGTCAACGGCAACTTCAGAAATGCAATTAGGTCTGGAGATCCCTTCGCTAACCTGCGGACAGACGAATTGGTTCTACATAACATGACAATTTTAGCGATTGCTCCGCACGCTTTTCTACCATTGAAATCCATGCTGAAGAAGTTGGATCTCTCCAACAATTTTCTCACAGTGCTTCCCTCTGCCCTTCATGACCTTGACGTGCTAGAGTCCCTTGATATTTCTGAAAACTCTATTGGTAACAGGAACTTTACTGAAGAGGTTTTGAGAAAAATTGGAGCCACCCTGAAGTCACTGACCTTTGGTAGTTATGACATTCAACAATGGCCAGTTACTCTTAAACACCTCCAGATGCTCCAAAATCTGAATGTGACAAAAGCAGCCTTCCAGTTCATGCCCCAGGACGCTTTTTACGGATTTTCTGGGACCCTCCTAACCTTAAGTCTAGGTACAACAGGACTCACCTCGGTACCTCTAGCTGTAGCTCAGCTGAGATATTTGCAGACATTTAATTTCGATCACAATATCAATGTTGGGGATTATGGCATGAACGTCCCATTGATTCGTGGTAGGATGCCATATCTGACAAATATTTCTTTGCAACAGGACAGTTTAAAAACTTTCCCATCAGCCCTATCTGCATTCGAAAACCTAAAGTCTGTGAGCATGGATCTTAATACCCTGGACTTCGTCAGTGATCATGCCGCTAATTCTGTTAGACAAATTGAAAACCTAAGCATGCGCAATTCTAACATTTCCCGTATTCCACAGGCCCTTGCGGATATTACATCGCTAAAATCTCTTGACTTATCAGACAACCGTATACACAGCATCGATGCCAAAGACGTTAAAATTTTGCATTCAGTGAAAGAAATCAAATTGAACAACAATCCTATCCTCTACATCTCAAATCACGCTTTTGATAGTAATGGAAATTTGGAGCGATTAGAACTGAGAAATACGCATTTGAAGGAGGTTCCATGTGCTCTGAAATACGCCATCGAGAACTTGACGCGAGTAAAACACAATTTTCCCCTAACTGTCGACATTTCCAACAATGAAATCGCGTGTACATGCGAGCTAAAGTGGCTCGCTGATACTCTCAGTACACATCAAGCCAACATTTCATGGAATATAATTGGAAACTGTGAAACAATTGTTATGAGTATCAATGATTACCTGAATTCTGAAAGTCTTCGGGATTGTCCTACATCTAATATTTGTTAATGGAGCAATAAAAAATCATTTCATTTAATATCTTCTCTAATTTCTTTCTTTCTCAGGCAAATCGATAGATGAATAAATAATGAAATAATTTCCTTAAAAATGAAATGTAGTTTTCAATCGAATACTACCATTCAAAATTAAATTGACGTATCGGGGTTCATTGTAATGTATCTAGTGTTTTTTTTCTTGCTACTGTAAGCAAACATAAATTAAATTTCATGACGATGAATGGATAGTGTGCTCTACTACTAAGTTTCCAAAAACATAATCGTTTTGGAAAATTCAGACGCCAGCTTTGGCAAAAATTGTTTCAAGCCTTCTAGATACTTCTAGGAAACCAAGCACACAAGGTTAAGCTGATTGTATGGCTAATAAGAGAAAAGCCTATACTAACATTAGATAAGCTAATGCTTCTTAATATCTTTTGAATTTTATCAAGCAATCTATTTCTTGACTTTACCTTATTTATATTTTTTGAGAGACCAGGATAAATCCATTGGGTATGGAAGGTTTATTATTTTCTCGCATTTGATGATTTGTGTATATTTTCTCTAAAAACTGATTGCCTATATAGCTATTCCCTAGGGTAGTGTGAGAGAACAAAAATTTTATTACAAACGTTATGACATGATACTAAGGTGCATCTTTAATTTCCTTACACTTTCGACCCGTTATACAACAGAACTTAGGATTCAGACCAAAATATATGTAGGGGAGTTTACGAGTGGACATTAAATTAAAAAGGTTAGATAATTAATTATTGTGAATTGTATTTTACAGGAAATATGATTTACCTATATCCAGAGCTCCCCTTTCAAGTAGGAAATTTTTCAAAGCTATATTACAGATTTAAATGTTTCAATTTTCACAACAATCAAAATGGATTTGAATAACCATACCATGCCTGATCCCAAAAGTTCCTATAAATCCTTTTAAACAAAGTTATATAATGGTTAATGTTCCAATGTTCAAGCCTATGTTTTTACTACTCAAACTATTTACAGCAATGAATAGTTAACTTAAGGGGTTCTTTACGACATTTTATTAGAGAAATGTTGTGAACCAAAAGTGTATAGGAACTTAAAAAAAAAGAAAACACATTCTCTTTTTTTTCTTTTACCGAAAGCAACATTAAAACGTACAACTTTTCAACACTTTACACTGTAATGTACGATCCTCAAAGATAAATCAAAGTCCAGACTTTTTGACATCATAGACAGATTAGGCCTTTCAGAATAGCGAAGTTCGTGAGCACTCGCAAGAATTACTATTACCTCCAATAGTAATTTTGGCGAACGCTCGCGAACGTTCGCTCTGCTAAACAGGCCTCAGAATGTGCATTAATTAAAATTTCAAATCAAAAGATACGTAATTTTTCATTGGTTATTTTCAAAAATATTTGTAAAAAAATGCGACTGGCTCTGCTCCTGATTGATAATATCTGTATATTGTTTGTATTTTTTTTTTAACCTCAAAGAAGCAATTTTTTTATATATATATTCTGGAAAATAGAATTAAAAAATTGAAAATGAAATTTTATATGACAAAAAAATTCTCTATAGACTTATTTTTCAGATCAAGTCGGGAGAGGTCACCTAAACAATTTTTAAAAGATGGCTGCGATGTTGTTTCATGACTCCCGATCTCACCTCTGATGCTTTTAGAGGTCTGTGTTTGCTCCGCTCCCAATGTGCATTGTGTAAATGGACTTTGAATACTGTTGGTTATCTCATTATGTTATTGCTTGCTTTGTACACATTTCACTCAATGGAAAAACATTCTGAGACATCATTATTAATAATTAACAACAACAACAACAACAAAAAAATACTTTTGTGGAACAGACCCAGAATCGTCACATACATTTCACCCTGACGTAAAATTTGATCATTGTTTTAGTTTTATTTGGTAGTTTGAAATTTCTTTTAGAACAAATTACTTACATAATCACTTATACCATTTGCAAATCAAATCGAATAGGATAAAAAAAAGACCAAATAAATTACATCAATCATGATTATGAAGTTAATTTGAAGACAAAGTCCAATTAGTCCAATTACTTTTATGAGGTTTCATCACTAATTTGATACAATTTTAGAAATAATTTGAGAATTAATTTAATAATTTTAGAATTAATTTATTACAATAGAAATGATTTTAATAGATCTTTTCCACCATAATATATATATATAGGGAGCACAAAAGTTTTGGTGGTTGTTTCGGTCCTTTTTTATTGGAATATTTCCCGGGAAAGGCTTGCGTTCACTCTTATAGTAGTTTTAAAGGTCACAACAGAATTCACTAAACTACAATAAATAATATTTATTGTCGAATGACATAAGAATCTATGGGTGACGGTCTCGCATGAAGTTGTCCAATGCTAGGGGGCCTTCGTTGATCACAGTCATTGTAACAGGACCGGAACACGAGAAGACACATGTCTTCACACGCTTCATTTTCACATTTGGTTACAGCACACGTGTAATATTTATCCCCACAATTTCCACGACAGACTTCCATTTTCTCCTGTAAGATTGGACTTAGTGTCGTTTTAATCAGAAACATCGGAAATGCATTCGGGTCCTGAGCACAAATTATTACAGCATTATAGAGACAAATGAGAAAAAGTTTTGTCCCTTCTTGTAATCTGCAAATCAAGATATTTAAACGTTTTTATAGATTGATAAAATCACCTGTATTGTGAATTAAAATCAAGATCTATTTGTGAAACACTGATTCCCTCGAGTATGACAGATTATGGCGAGAGTTGAAACATAGATGCAAGTAACACAACAAGTTCAAGGTCAAACCATAATATATAGAGAGTACCAAAAGTTTTGGCGGTTAGGTCTTCTGCACAGGAATACACCTGTGGAATATGAAAGTCCTAGTCCTAATAATTCGAAAAGTATGGTCAAGGTTTTCTTAAGAGGGTCAAACTCTAAGGTTTAGGTAAAAAGATCAAAATTGTGTCCACTTGGTATCCAAAAGAAGGTATTGTCAAAAGAAATGCAACAGTGAAATATGAAAGCCCTAGTTCAAAAGTTATGGTCAAGGGTATAGTGAGCTGTAAGATCAAGGTCAAAAGATCAAATAATTTTATACCCAATGAAAGTTGATGTCAGAGTATATACACACATTAAGTATGAATTCTCTGACACAAAGTATACAAAAGTTATGGATATGGTTAATTTTCAGAAATTTTAGGGAAAAGTGGGCCAATCTCCAAGGTCAAGGTCACGTGGTCAAATTTGATGGTACGAAAAGAAAGGTTTTGTCACAAGCAATACTAGTAAAATATGAAAACCAAAGCCTCACCGACTCAAAGTGATGGACAATGTTCAAGTTCTGAGGTCAAACAGAAAGACAGACGGACCAACAGTCTAAAAACTATTTTTCCCCGAAATTCGATTATGCATGAAAAGGAATATAAAAGACAAACCTCATTTTCCGTTACACAAATTACATATTGCCCTTATCACAAGCGTTGGGTTACAAAGTATGTCTGGCAGATAAGGTTTTCATGTCAGAAAATTTACTAGTATCTCTCATAACTTCTCCTTTTAAATAAAGACAATGGAACAATGTAAAAATGCAATGAAGCTTCAAGGGAAAATACAAACAAGTAAAAGGTAATAATCGAAAGTAAAAGACTCTATTTTAAAAAAATAATCTTAACACCGAATCAAGTGTAAGAATTATACATTACTCTAATCTGAAATTTTTGTAAAAATTACACATATTTTTTTTAAAAAAAAATAAAACCATAATCTCAAGATTTAATCTTTATTTAACTAGTTTCTTTTATCAAATATTACATCACACTAAAGTTCTGTGTTGTAGTAAGAAATAGTCGGTGGGGATAACCAGTTTTGAGTAAGGAGGTGGAATTCTGGCGAACATTTTGTACCAAACAAGAAGTCTAGAATACACCGGATGTGACACTTTTCGACTGTCACTGTATTTTACACGCTGTTGTCACGTAATTGTAAAATGTGTATCCACAATTTTCTCGACATTTAGAAATCTCTAGAGTTTGAATTGGGTTCATTGTAAGTCTGCTTGTATAAGGAGGGTTCTCAGAGAAAACTCCTTGAAGAATGTATAATGTTAATATATAACACTTTTTTGGATATTCACCCATGTTTTTTTTTCAAAATTGGAAAATGAAATTTATTGTGATAGGTTATAATGCCAGTTTAAAGTGAAATGTACTGCACATATTTATAGAAAAGAAAAATTTAATGATTTTGATTGATCATTCATACATATGAGCCTATTGATTGGATTATAGATTTTGAAAATTCAATGCTACTGATTTTCAACATCCGGTGCTGTAATGGTGGCTAATTTTTCTGGACTTTCTCTATTTCCTCTGTGGAATAACTGGTCATCTACCGTAGACCTATGGTCCTCTGAATCATTGACTAATTCTGTATAAGGATGAATATTTATATAATCAGTAACATTTTTCTTAACATGTACTACATCTAGATATGTTCCTTCTGGATTGGTAGGTAATGTATATGTTCTTTCAATATTTGATTCCTCTTGTTCTGTGTTTTCTATATTTGGTTCGGGTAAGCGTTCATAACCCTCGTCCATTTCTTCTATGACGTCATAATCAGGATCAAGATACGGACCCTCTGATATGACAAAGGTGGATTCGTACTGAGGAGTTCCTGCTTTTGGAACACTGGGAAGGCGCATTAACTCTTTCCTTCTTTTCTTTAATAACATTGCCCTGTGATAATAAAAAAGAGCAAAAACTGAAATTTCGATGTTCAATTATTTTGAGGCTGCAAATAACAATTTGTTGGAATTTTGTAAATTTCTATTTTTTTGGTGTAAAATCTAAAATATAGTTATATTAGATAAAGACTAAAAATAAAGATGAGTTGCCAACAATACGAGCAAAATGCATAATGTGCTCAAAAAAAAAATTCAAATAATTAAAATATCCATTATGATAAAACTTTATCTGTTATTCTAATTAGCTCAATTTACCAAAGTCTCAAAAAGATTAAAATTATTTGTCTAGGAAATAAGATAGACACAAAAAATGATTCTAAAAATATCATTTAATATTCATATTACAACACCAAGACCAAGACCAAAGGTTCAACATAAATTGTGCCTCGATCTTGTTTCATAGAATATATGTACAAATATGACATATGAAAACCCTTACACGAAAAGTACATATCATATTGACATAAAATTATTCTTAAAGTAGATCAAATGTAAAAGTAAATAGTTACCATGGAAAGGTCTTTTTAAATTCCGTTTTAAAGTCGAAGTTAAGGTACAAGGTTTTTAAAAGTGAGTAAAATCAAAGGTCAAGGTCAAATTGTCAACATTATAAGTCTTCAAAAAAGGCCTTATAAAGCCCTAGCATTCAAGGTTCAAAAGTTATGACCAAGATTAGTAACATTTCACAAAAATCAAAGATTAGGTCAAAAGGAACAATTCGTTGGTATCAAAGGTAAAGACGTGTATATATGAAAGCCATAGCTTCAACAAATGAAAAAGTTCTTCGACTGAGGTGAGCTAAAAATACTTATCAATAGAATAAAATTTCATTCTCTTATTGTTTGTAATAGAAGCAGTCCATTGATTCAGAGTAGACGGATAATATAATTAAATGTTAATAAAATAATCATCAATGTCAAGCAAAATAAACGTGTCATTTTGAATTATATAGCTGCACTTATAGATACTTGCAACAATTATGGTTATTCAGGATACCAAGGAATCTCACTAGCACTAAATGTCATAATATAAAACAAGGATACATACCTCATTTTCACTAAGCTGATCGCCAAGATGGCAACAAAAAGGAGAAAAAACGCTAATCCCACAAGCACTGAAAATATGTATGTATATAAATATTACTGTCGTTAAAATTCCTGCTGATAGAAACTGAACGAAAAAAGAATTTTAAAAATATTGATATTATTTTACCAATTAGATATATTATCACAGATAAAAATAGAGATACCAAACAATAATCAAGTTCACAAGTCAAATGAAACCAAAAGCAAACACAGACCTCTAAAACATCAGAGGTAGGATAAGTTGTCATAGAGGAGTGAGCATCCCCTGTGGAACGAACACACCAACACTGTTCTCATTGCCATAATAGGACCAACAGACAGATGACAATTCAGTGTGTATATGGTTGACTTATGAGTTGTGAGAAAAACGTCAGTCAGTATTCGACTTAATGCTAGATTAGAAATCGAATAATTCGTTTATGAAATGAACAAGGACTGCAGTTTAAGTTTTTTGCAATGATGACCTATTTACATAAAAGAAACTATATTTTAGTTGTTCTAAAATATATAACTAAGACCAAACGTCTTCAATTAGTTGAAGCATATTCCTTGAAAATATGACGCTGATTACTACATTTGCAATCATTTCTTTTTTTAACGTGTATAAAATATGCAAATATATTGCGCTGTTATTTATCTATATAAAAAAACAAAACTTTATCTTAAAGCAATGTGAGCTGCATGTTTGACATCGGAAAAAAATATTTAAAATATGTAATTAACTCTTTCAATGACAGGAAAATAGAGCGTCAATAAACTTCAGTTGTTCATATTTGCTGTGGAAGAACTTTTTATAAGCTTTGATTGAAGCAAATTGAATTATTGTCGTCTTGTACAATAATGATTTCTTATATAATACTGTATATTTGGTTGTACAGAAATATTTCTTCTGAAACATTTTTAAACTTTACTTTGGTCTTTTTGATCATAAAGGTTTAGATTAGGTACAGATTAATCATAATAACAGATTTTACCAGCAAAATAAAATTCTCAAAAATGCAGCTCATTTACTTTAATGATATTTGATATTCATAAGGCTTGGGTTCTTCAAGCAATGTTTTAATCAACTACTTACAGAAAATCAGAGTTTGACTAATATTCCCTGTGGAGTCTTGAATTGCATTTTCTATATCTAAATGAGAAAATATAAATCGCAATGATTCTAAATGTAGGCAGACTCAATTAAACTAATAATAATCCCTTAGATTTTATATGATAAATAGGTTGGTCCACTTTATTTTTACATCAATTTCTGAAACTAACTAAGATTATATAATTTTTGGCAGGGATGTTTATTAGCATTTTGATTTTACTAAATATTTGCATATCCACTGCTCTCTCCCACTATGAACATGCAGACTCCAACTGCGTTCACAGTGCTATAGACGCTATGAGTGCAATTGCTCTATCACACTCGTGTAGAACAAACTCTACTACACTTGTTAAAGGTGTTGAGAAGTATATATATGAAAAATTTTGTAAGAGGATTCAATATAAGTTTTTAATAATATTCTTTGAAAAAAAATAAATTCAGAATATTTAAAATTGCTGATTTATATCTTTAAAAATTCTATTTTGAACAATGTATTTAATTGTATAAGAAAACTTTTTAAAAATTTTTAAATTGCCATATTTTTATTTTTTCACCTTCATACATATTTGTACAAAGAACGATAACTCTTTACACTTGGGTATAATAACATTCAGAAGGAGATTTCTTTTTAACTAGTATATTAAATGTATTTCAAGAATTTTCAGCTATTAAAAATAAATAGAAAACTAAAAAAAAATAATTGTAGAAATGCATTCTGGCGTAATAATCATTATAAAAGCATTTTAATCTTTCATCATAGTGTAAAATTATTGATTTTTGTCAGAGGGTTTCAAACGTTGATCGATGACGTCACAACTGCATCAAAACAAAGATTAAGAGAATGTGATGACGGCACTGCTTGTATCCAGATAACTGTGTTTGAGAGGAAAATACTTTATAAATTGTTTGTGATTTATTAGAGAAAAGGAATTGATTAGGTGTACTGATTTTAAAGCCGTATATTTTTCTTTACTGAAGACAATTATGTAAGTCAGGATTTCCTCTGATATTCTTTTAAAAAATCAAAAAATGCAAATATAAGTTATAAACAACGATTATTCAGTGAACATGGCATTATGAATAGCAACTGCTCTGCTGGCATATTTTCCATGTTGCGCTATTATTTTATATTGGCTACTGACTACAATACCTGCTGAGTAGAACTCAGTGTAGTTGTTCTTTATGCCTAAAAATTAAACAGAAAAAAAAAACACATTCAAAATGTCAATATTTTGCATATCATAATCATTACCAAATTATTTTGAAAATATCCATGTACATAATTAAGTCCAAGTTATTATAGTTTAAAATTGTTATTTTTCATCTTCAAACATTTGGAACAGTTGTATTACTAAAATTGACATGAACATTTTCCTATCGCCTATTTCCAATTGCCTATAATAGTTAAATTGGACAAATAAAGTCAATTAACATGATTGTGTCAAACATTTCAGATTTGTAATCCAGAAATACCAAAGAAAGAGAAGACTGGGTAACTATTGGCATACTTATGACTCCCATTCAACTTTTTATCATTCACTATCATGAGCATTTGAATTAAAAATGCGTCATTAAGCACAAGTTGAATAATTTATAATATTGCATGTAGTTGACTAAAACATTGTAAAATTTCGCCCAAAGAAAACCATTGTCAACCAAGACGCAGTAGAGGTTAACAATAGTTTTCGAGCGATGAATTTTTTTCAACTTTACACTCAAATACATGCAAAATTTATAATATTATACTGAATGTTTTAACAGTGAACCGTGCAAGCATAAATTATGCGCATTATTTTTTGGAACAACACCCGTCGTCAAGCAATGTTGACTGTTGCTACGCTGGGAGACGTGGCTCATTATTCAGCTGGTTACTTAAGAAATAAAATATTATCTTTAGAGTTTCATTTGGGTATGACATGAAGTCGGTCACGTGATCAAATTCTTTTTGATGGGCGTTATAGTAGATTTGATCACGTACCGACTTCATGTCATACCCATTGAAACTCTGAAATGAAACAATGAAAACGATATTTCATTTCTTACATTTATATTTTACTTTTTAAGTCGTGTTACAAACGAATATATGCATTATTTGGACTTTGCTTTGGAAATGCAACATAATGTATAATATTCATACCTTAGAAAGTCTGATCATGTGACCAACTGCATGTCATTGGAAATTGAATGTCCATTTTATTAGCATTGTGATATAAGGTAAGACATCAGCAAATGTAAATATAGTATTTTTAAACAAATGTTTCTCGACGAATCAGATTCAAATAATTTGCATAATTATATGATATCAATTATTGACTCACCTCTTATATCAATCAACATCACATTTGGCTAAAGAAGTAAGAAAAGAAAAACAGAAAATTACTCACAAAACCTGATTCTGGTCCGGAATGGTCTGGGAATGAGGTTCATAAAATTATTGGCGATAAGTACTTTGTCTTTGGACAAACAGGTAGAGTCGGTTTCCTCGGTGACCGTTGCTAGCACACAATTAGATATCCCTACCGCAGACCTGGGTAGGAAAAAACAACAGACGATATATTGATGTGTACAAAATGCTATAAGATTACTAAATATAGAGCTCTTATTTACATTAAAGATCGTACAAAAAAGAAATATTCAGTTTCAGAACAATTTGCCTAAAAAAGTAAATGCATTTGCTGACAATCTGTTGTATGGATAATCATAGTATCACAAAATATTGACTTTAAGCGTGGCACAGTGATAAGAGCGTCTGCTCTAAACTCGCGAACAAAGAGATGTTGATCAATACGTCGCTGGTTCAGATCCCACTACGGGACGTGGAGACCGGTCCTTCGTATGAGATCGTATAAACCACAACCCCATGTCGCAGTGGGTGCTAGCACGAAAAAGCTCCCTCACTGTTGAATGGCCTAAGTGCCGAGTAGTACAAATTTACCACCACCGGCAAGTGGTGGCTTCTCCATATGAGTGAAAAATTCTCGAGAGGAACATTTGACAACATTAATCAATCTTTCAAGTATCCATGTCTTATCCACACCACTTTTTCCATAATCCTGAATTTTCTCCTTTATTGGTGATACTATCTTGGCAAGGAACTAATAAAAATGTTATGTTGAACATTAAATGTGATTCGCTAGATGTCTTTGTTTTTAAATATCTTTTTTAGTATAGAAATTCATTAAAAGTAAAATTTTTGAAGTTAACTTTGATCGTTCTTTTTATCCTAGTATTCTATTAAGTAAAAGAATATCATACCGACATAGAAGATCCATTGATGTGTCCAAGGTGAAATTAATAATGGGAAATATTTTTAGACACGGTTCTGCATAGTTGACCAACCTGACGGCATCTGCATAGTCAGGATCAATACAAGGGGACCTAACACCTTTTAAAAAAGACCACAAAATAAAAGTTTATTGCGATAATTGTTGCATTTAACAAAAGAATATCATTGACAGCATATATTGGATAAAATTGATTCAATTCAATTTCGCAGAGAGATTTATTGATATGTTTTTTTTTTTTGTTTTTTGTTTTGCTTTTGTTAATGCAGCATACCAATCCTATAAAAATGACGACTAAATTGATTTCACCGTTTAAGAAACTTACATTTTAAAAAAAAAAAAAATACAGTTTCTACTCGTCACCAACCACCTTGGTGCATTTTGTACAAACGGCACCATTGAACTTTACAATTCAAATTCTCAAACTTCCCTATGGTAATTTTGAAATGCTGGTTTTTTTTCTCAAGAAAGGTTTATTTTTATATCATAATGTGGAAATTCTTTGACTGTCTTCGATTTAAGGCAACGTAGCTAAAAGATTGAATTCTCAAGATGTTCTTCATGAAACAAAATACTTACAGTCATAAATAGACTTCCCTATTATCTTCTCTATCATGCTTTGTGATTGCAGAAGAATTGATCTCACTTTTATTTCTGGACACTTCACTTCAGAGGAAATTTCTATGTGATTCTTCAAACAAAGGCCAAGCTTTGATATTGATCTGAAAAATATGTCTTTTGTAATTTCAGGCGAATTTCAATAAACGAATCAAAAGCGGTAAAAATAACAAATAGCTATGTATCTCATAAAATCTTTAAACACATTTCTGTACAAATGCCAAAAATAGGGATCCCAAGAAAATGGAGAGGTGTGAGCAGGTGCCTAAGATAAATATATACATTTAACACTTGAAAATAATGGGGATTGAGCCAAGATTAAAAAAATACTATCCACCATGTCATTTCACACAAAACGAAAATATTCAAAACTCAGACTTTGTGCTTTAAATAACTATGGAAAATGTCGAATATTTGAAGTCAATATCTAATGATTTGCCGTCAAAAGATACTTGAAGATGTTCCTTCTTTTTGTCTCTCTTTAGGGATTATATATCCACTGGGCGATTAATAAATTGATCTTGTAAAACTCAATTAGAATTATTTTCTTTGGTATATTAGCTAACTTAAATGCTTACTAATAAATAAGCATGACATATAGATATATTATTATCTCATCAATTAATGCCAAATTGCGTTCACAATGTAAGAAACGCCTGCTGATCCTTTATCATGTTTATCAAATTAATATATCAGGTAGCCGACATGCCTTTTTCATTTCGTAGTATTTCGCGATGTAGAGATGGTATATAGCATTTTTAGATTTTAATTGTATATTTTATCCTCCTCTCAGCCCTTTATAGTCGCCACTACAGGCGATAAACTGGTTTGATTTGAATTGTCTGAGGGCTTGCAGGAGATTCTAAGCAAATTTACTACTTGTAGAGACGACTTTAAAGGGTTGGGAGTTTAAAATATACAGATTTATTAAAAAAATGTTTCTAGAATGATTGTGCGGGTATATAATTCATTTCTCAGGAAATTTAGACTTTTTAAAGAAAATTGAGTTTGATAATTTTACCAATACCGCTGATAAGCTTAACGAGGCCGAGTCTAATTCGATTGCGCATCACTTTGCGCAGCTTTTTAATTTCATGCAATCATTTGTGTGACAGTACACCTTTGAAAATTATTTTAATTTCAATACAAAATTAACATTATTTGTAACTCCTACTGATCTGAGAATGTGATTTTACGACAATTATTGGAAAAAGAGCGTTGAAATGGTTCTAACAACGTCACCATTTTCGGACTTTGTAAGCAATGCATGACGCTGAAGAATGACGCATGACTCGCTTGTATGTTCAAGACGTCCATGGATATTATACTTAAAACTGATGACATAACTTCCTAAGAAACATACTAGCAATTTAAAAATTTAAAAATTGCTTTTTATGCCAAAAAAATTGTATGCACCGATAATTCATCAGCAAAGATATGTATTTATACAGTAATATGGCAATTTTACAGATATTTGGCTTCGAAAATATACACTTAGTAATTATTACCGAGACCAATCGAAATGGTGAACTTTTTTTAAATTTCACAATTTGGTGACTTTTTACATTTACTTTCATTTACTTAAATAAAAAAGAAATCCCTAGGGCAGAAGTACAAAAAATGTGGAAAAAATGTTATTATTTGGCGATTTTCCAACAAATCCCCATAGGGTCCAATAGTAAAGTTTGACAACATTTAAGATGGCCCACTAAGAAATGGGGTGGTAAACATTCGATTTTTTAATCCTAAAACAATAAATATAACAGTAAAAATTAATTATCAAAAAATTATCAAAATCCCTAGGGCAGAAATAATTAGACTCGGCCTCGTTAAACTTTTATTAACTATTGCATGAAGATAAAAGAGTGTCTAACGCAAAGAAGTGCACCACCACCCCACCACCCCAGTATCACATGACTTCTATTAATAGCGAATGTTCCTTATTAAAAAAGCTAACAGAACAACAATACCCCGGAGTTAAAAAATTTCTTTGAGTAAATAATATAGCCGAAAAACATCTATTTTGCCTAAAAAAATCTGCTAGAATCCCACTGTGCTGTCAGTAAAATAATTATTGCATACATTCGCACGAAACCTTACCCGATGTTTTGAACTTTATACATATGAACAGAGATTTTTCATAAAACCATGCTTAACTCGGGATTCTAGCGGCACTTTCCAAGTATTTTAGAAGGCAAACTTTCCATCTGTACAAATCTTATATTTTGAAATATCCAGCTTATTCTTGTTCTGTTGCTTTTTTTGGCACGAATGACAGAGGAAATGCCGACCGGGATACATTGTACGTATATAGCTGACTGTCTTCGAAAGAGAATACAATCGATGAAAATAAATTAGCATACCTGTTTAATTAGCTGAACTCCAATTGAATTTCACATAATATTCACGATATATCATTTTAAACTCCATTTTACTTATCTTTGTACAAGCCAAATTGACAGACTGTCAAAATGACAGATTAAGCATAACAAAATAAAAATATTTTATTTTTTTTAAAAATGTTTACACGTTTTTATTTATTTTCTAGAGTTAATTAAAAGCGTAAACTGCTCCAGGTTATCTTATATCGTATAACATATGTTTAAATAAGCTTCATTCTTTATGATTTAATTTCAATGTAGACATGAGACAATTTTTCCGTCAGAAAACGGCTTCAAATTGAACATATTTTAAACGTAACGTCAAGCGTAGTAATTCGTTTTTGACGGATTTATGACACAAGAGTAAGAAAATAAAGAAAACTTCATATTTCTTATTTATTTTATCATAGAGGTATACTTTTTTCTTTATCAAAATAAAGAGATAATTCATTTCCTTTCAAAAAATATGAATTACAACCTTTTCACACAAAGACTTTCTAAGATATTACCTTTTATGCATGTCGGAATTGAAAAAAATACGACAAGAAAAATGGGGTAATACTTACTTTGTGCTCCATTATAATTTTTCATGCGAGATGAATTACAGTGAATTTGTTTTCATTTTTAAGATACAAGTCAAATAATTTAAATACCTGTTGATTTTGAATGTAATTTGAAATTTTTGATTCTTTTTAGCGCATATTTAGGGTAAAACAATAATGTCTGAAAATAATCAATTTTAAGCATTTCACACTGATTTTGCACGTGCTCCTGTGTAAAAATAAGCATATAACGGTATGGTTTTTGATATAAAAAATTAAGAGCAAGTGGCCATGAAAGAAATGTCAAAGTTTTGAAACTTTCACACAAAGACTTTTCGGACATAGGTCCCCCCTTAAATTATTTTAGGACTGACTCTAATTCTTGGCCAAATTATTCGATTATAACCTGGTTTGGGTCAGTTTACGCTTAATAATCCGCGAAGCGGTTTATAAAAGAGCGTAAACTGACCCAAACCAGGTTATAATCGAATAATTTGGCCAAGAATTAGATTCAGTCCTTATAATTTATTTTTAAAATAATTAAACAACTGTGGGTGTAAAATTGTTTTGCTTTTTATGAGTTCAAATTTGCCGCTCAAAAATACATCCCTAGTAACGGAAGTGATTTGAAACAAGGGGACGTAATAACTGATACACAGATCTAGCAGCCATGCTGTTTGTTTACATGAGGTAAGATCGAGCTACTGTTTGAAGCTAAAGGTACATTAATTGAATCTGGAATTTTCAATGAATCCCATGGACTGGACATGAGGGGATTGCATGGATACAGATGATTCAGCTGGTTGTCAAGGAGGCGTGTCCCCATACAAAACCAGGTTATTGAGAAATAGTTTGCGTTCCTTTTTGGAAATCAACCAATGAGAGACTAGAATACAAACAAAATTAAATTATATTCCAATATTACGGAAACATGTGCTCTAATACTGACGTCATCTCGCCTACTATGACGTCATAATGTATCACTGATTTAGTCAAGGTAGAATATTCTGTATACTTCCTTATCACCCCTGCGTGAGGGAAAGGTGAATGAGAATTCTGGCAAGAAAATGACCTTGTCACAAGTAATACACACATGAAATATGACAGGCATAGCTCCAACCTAGTTATTGGCAATGATAAAGTCTTTGATGACTCGCAGACAATCAGACACACAGACAGATAAATAGTCGAAGAGGGAAAAACTATATCTTTGATTATGGTAGGATAATAAATGAAAACTTACTTGCAGTCTGTTTGTTGATTATTAACCAAGTAGCACTGTTTAATGACGTCAAAGCTATAGAAAGACTGGTTGAGACATTTGGTTACTGAAATAAAGAAAAAAGGAAAAATGCTTATTTCCCATTCAGAAAAAAATCCGTAAAAAACTAGAGGGGCTATGAGCAATAAGCTCACAAATGATAGCCCCACCTCCCATATGGTTATAATGTCAAAGTCCATGTTTTGTCTTAGGACCCCCGAAATAAATGTCAGATCAAAAAGTAAAATAAGAGGTGAACAATGGCACTATGTAGTAAAGAATCTGTGAAAGTATCATTAAATTTTATTCAGTGGTATAATAGAAGCTACGGATAAGGGATGGGCACCACAAAGCGTAACAGACGGACGTTCAGACAGACGGACAAACGGGCATCACGATCACTTTATACCCTCCTGCTTTTGAGTAAGACATTAATTTCTCTATAAATTTGATTATATATTTTTGTGACAAAGAAGATGGTATCATCTTCTCCATCATCAACCTTCTAATGATAAAGTAATATTCCGTTACAACCTGTTTATGGCGCAAGTCTCCAATTATACTTTTTATCTTTTTTTTTTATTGAATACGGTTTGTAATTTTTTTCGTTTTATTATTATATTATAAAGTTAAATGATATATTTAAGAACTAACCACAGACTCTGACGTCACAGAGTTCCCAGCGTACATTGGGGTCACTCGTGTAGCACCATGGTTCCTCTCGGTCAAAGTTCCGACAATAGTTCTCTTGAGCAAGATTGAAGACATCATAGTTGTGTTCATGTGGACTCTGTTTAACCCACCTCTGGCACAACCGTCCCGTTATTGTTACATTTCTAGTTCCTCTGTATAACACTCCCGGCAGTCGACAATCAGGTACGTCCTCTTTGTTTGAATTAAGGACAGATGATACAAACAAATTTTTTCTTTGAAAAAGATTTAATATCATGTCACAAGTTTAGAAAATTGGATAATTCTTAGAATATTTTCTTCTGAGAACTGGAAAATGAAATAGACTAGGAAAATATTAGTAATATTTCAATGAAAAAACAAAAATAGACAAATCACATTAAGTAAAGGTTTTAAAGGTGAAAACAAATTTCAGAATATGTTACCTTGGTGCTTAAAGTGTAATATAAACTTTAGAAAATATACCAAGCCAGGTGAATTTTAAGAGGAGGAGCAAAATGACAAAAAATTAGCAATATTACATAGGCTGATTTTTACAATTTAGCTTTTCCTTATTTAATTCACCTGACTTGGTATATTTTTCTTAAGTTTATATTACACTTTTCGCACCAAGATAACATATTCTGAAATTTATTTACACCTGTAAACCTTTACTGAATGTCATTTGTCTATATTTGTTTTTTCATTGAAATAATACAAATATTTTCAAAGTGTATTTCATATTCCAGTTCTTAGGAGAAAAAAATTTAGGAACCATCCACTTTTCTAATTTTGTGGCATGATATTAAATTTTTTTCAAAGAAAAAATTTGTTTGTATCATCTGTCCTTAAGAAAGTATTACTGTTTTATGAAAGATATGGAGATAACGAACATCATTCAATCTGAACGTCCATTAAACAATATACAAAATAAGAACAGAGCAAACACGGACCTCCGAAACATCAGAGGTGGGATCAGGTGCAATGGAGGAGTGAGCATCCCCTGCCGACCGGTCTTAATAGATATTAACTTTCAAAGGGATAGAATTATAAGTAAATTCTCTTTATGATTGGACTTTATAAAGGTAACAGTAACATTGTAACTGACAATTAATATAAAAAGTATATGATGGAAGAAACACATAGAATACATAAGACACAAAAGAAGCATATAAAAAGAAGCAAAAATACATGAAGGAGATAAGATAGTAAAACTTTGGTTAAATTATTTAGTTCTAAAATTCTGTGTGTTGAAATCACTGCAGTTTTTGTATATTTCAACAATTGTACAAGTTAGTCTTTTAAACTTTTAATTCTATCTGAAAAAAGGACTCTATGTTTCAAGAACATTTTTCAAACCAATCATGTTCAATTCAAATCATGTGTTCAAACCAATTACATACATTCATCTGCTGTTAGATGTTAGTAATTTTACAATTTGAAATTCTTTCATGAACTTTACTAGAAAAAAATTAAATGCTATATTTTGACTTTTTCAATACGCAATTCGTTTGATTGGTACATAATTTAGTTAGTTAGTACAAGATACGATATATAGTAACTTAATGAGAAAGCATTGTATTTGAAAATATCTCTGATAACGTATTACAATTGTCTAGACCACTTACCCTTTTTACTTGTAATTTCTGTGCTTAGGGAATTCAATGCACTGAGAGTAGTGAAATCCTTCCCTGTATAGAAATTGTCTGATGAACTTATTTCACCTTTAAAGAGATATTAAGTGAAATATATGAGATAACAAATAGTGTTCAAGCTCTAAAGTTTCTTTAACAATACAAAAAAGAACAAACAGGGGACCTCCAATAATCAGAGGTTGAATCAGACTAAGAAATATTGAAATATAAAAAAAAATATAAAAATGAAACTCGAAAAATGGTTTCAATTTGTTTATACGTATATTCTACCTATGGTTGTAAATCTATCAGTTTCTATTTTCCTCTCTAAGGTTGCTTCATCCAAATCTGTTAAAAACTCCGTTACATCTGCAAAATTATAGAAATATATATTTAGTTTTAAATAGATGTTAACAAAACAGTTATATTTACATAAACTTACATATTCTTTAATATGTAAGCATGAAAAAAACCAATAAGGCAGACTGATATAATTTGTGTGTAATTGTTTTTTTTTCTATGATAAACCCGTTGACTTTAACTTTACAAATGCGTAAAATACACCTTAATCACTTGCATTCAGAGTTTATATCGCTCAGTTGTGCATTTGGAGTTTATATCGCTTAGTTGATTCGAAACGCAAGAGCATTTTCTACGTATAAACTTTTTAATTTTAAAACGAGGTTAATTATTAACAAACAAGTTGATAAAAAAGAATATCAGCAGTCTTGTTTTCATAATTACTATTGTTAATACAATGATCTAGTTAGCAAATACAATTATTCATCAAATGAAATGTTGGCTGACGTTTTTCATTCTGATTGTTAGGCCATTGTTTAAACATGAATGGTAGACAGATTGTTTCCTTAATTTCCCGATCATGACAAGGAGCACACAGAGGATGTGACCGGTCGGCAGGGGATGCTCACTCCTCAGTGGCACTTGAACCAACGTCTGGTATTTCTGAGGTTCGTATTTGCTCTGCTCCAATTTTTTTTTATTGTTTAGTGGACTTTTGAACATCTTAATCCTCTTAAACGATATGAAACACCTTAGACACTTCCTTTTCAGATGTAAAGATATTTGGCAAAACTCATTTTATCTGAAACTATATTCATACAAAAATATACTTTGGTACCAAAAAATAAACTAGTATTTGCATGAGCTTCTTTCGATGAGCAAGAAATATTATATTTTTTACACCTTGTTGTAGCCTTCGATATTGATGAGTCTACTGAATGCAAAATGTTCATTTTTATTCATATTTTCACCTTTCGTTTTTATTCTTCACTTAACAAAAAGTGAAATAAGTAAAGTGAACAAATAATAAAATAGACTCTTGTTCATTTCGAAGGTAGGACCATGTGCCTCGTAGAAGGGATCCCTGGCACATGACACCATGTACGTACATGTATATATTGTACTATTTTTATCCTGAATACCATTTTTGATGTGAAATTAACGACAATGAATGTCATCTTCATCTCGATTTTTAGGTAGATAACAAATCATGAAATGATCTATTTTGCAATTTAAAATAGTTATGTTATTTCTTTTCAGGAGTCAAAATCCAATAATTCAATAATTTTTCGATATATGTTTTAGATAAAACAACGCTTCATGAAGAAATATTTAGTGGTACTGTTTTCCGTTTAAAATATTAACTCATGTTAATAGAATTGTATTAGGCTTTAAAATTTCCATCCATATCAAAAAGTTGTTTTATTGCTCTCGTTTTAATTGACAATTAGAAAATATTATTTTTTTGTAAAACAACTGTAAAGCGTTTATTGATTTAACTATATAAGCGAGCAGAAATAATATCATTCTTTAGAACATGTGATTAAAATTTTAAAGAAAGTTAAATTTGATTTTTTTTTTATTTTTTAGTTTTCATCATAGATGTATTTGGTTACCTTATTAGTCAATGAAATATATATAGATATTTCTTTAAACGATTTTCAAAAGTAAAAATGAAGATCAAAACCCTTCGAAAAGACAGTGATTGATTTTCTTTTCAGGCGTCTCAATAATGAATAGTTTTAATCAAATTTGCAATTATCAATGTTTCATTTCTAAACTTTATATTTTATAAAGTATGATATCTTTTTTATAACAAAACTTCACCTTTTAAGAACATAGAACTATTGTGCCTTTGGTATAAGTAGATATCCCTTGGGCGGAAAATATTTATCAATTGATGAAAAACAATTTAACATTGTTATATTTTAAAGCAGTTGGAATATTTTCTCCGTTTTTAAAACGTTGGTCATAACGGATGCTCGGAAGGAAGCTTTCATGAATAACTGAGCTGCACGAAAAAAATTGTAATGACTTATAGCGACTAAATTAGTCAAAGCAAGTACAAGCAGTATAAAGCGATGACACCTTAGTTTTGATCATTTCATTAAATATTCAAAAAAAAAGTATTTACTTTTGTAGGAAAAGAGATACACTATATGCATTTTGTATAAACCGAGTTAAATAATAATTAAGTTTGCTCTTTAGATTTTGATTCTAATATTAAAGAATTGAGGCTAAAGCCTGTATTATGTAAACATGTACATTTCAGAAGACTTCTTATATATTTCTTTTTTTTTCACAGAAAGATAATACAAAACCTATCAAGTTGAAATTTAGATTATTATAAAAAGTTAAAAAAAATTAAAATTGTATTCTAATTTAGTAATTATGAACTATATGGATATAACAAATAGTCTTCAAGTTCTAAAGTCCACTAAAACAATGCTATTTTGGAGCAGAGCAAGAAAATAAGAGGTGGAATCAGGTGCATTAAGCAACGACAAGGAATATAAATCATTGACGATCTATATTACTTGATTTTTTAAAAATGTTTCCACAAATCGTTCCAACTTAATTGTCGTTTTATATATTGATTATGAAAAGATGACGAAGTTCATTTTTCCGCGAATTGCCGAATTGCAGGGAAACCCAAACCTAATAAAATATCCGAATTACCTGTTTGAGAATAAACACCTCCAATGAATAATATATAAAAGGCCATCATGTCTTTTCTTATAGATTTTAGCACAAACACTTCTAAAGCGGATATCACGAGATTACAACACACTAACAACACACTTCCTACATTATTTTGCATGTTTAAAGAGTACATATAGAAGCGCTATGTCAAATCACACATGTATTTATTTAATTATATATTGAAATGAAAAGGAAAGACTTTATTCAATTTTTAAAATATTTACGATATGAAAAACGAAATTTTATTTTGAAAATACAATATATTTTTGAAGAGAAGCGATTTTTTACAAAGAATACTGAAGACCTACTTTTTAAAAAAGTGATCATATATTGAATGAAAGTTAATGGAGGTATTGAAGAGTAATTGAACTCAATAGTCCATTAAACAATAAATGGAGTAGCTGAAACACGGAAGTCTGAAACATCAGAATTGGAACATAAACGAGCAAGCAAACCGGTCACATCTGCCGTGTGCTCAGTATCATACTCAGGAGTGACGGAAAAATCCATGGACAACTAAATGAGCAAATAATAACCTTACAACAAGTATGACAACCGTCAGTCGACAAATGACTTAAAGACAGATTGCATTTATTGTAACGTCCAAAGAACTTTGATTGAGTTAAACTATTGACAAACGAGTTGATGAAACAAGATCTCGAATTTCAGTAGCTTTGTTCATAGACATCATTTCATAAGTTTTATGGTTGATACAATGACCTTGTCAACAAATACAATTTATCATTGAGTCGAATGCTGATTGACGTTTTTAATACTCATTGTTAGGCCATTATTAATACACTAAATTACCGAGACGATGAAATTTCACTTATTTTTCGTTGAAAAGCAAACCGTTTGGGTTTGACCGGTGGCCAGGGGATGCTTACTCCAACATAGCATCTGATGTTTTTGAGATCTCTGTTGGCTCTGCTCCAATTTTGAAATAGTCTTGTCTGATTAATAGAAAACTAGAAATATGCCCATAGAAAATGAATGCCCCGCCGAGGGTTAGTAACGCAACATGAAAAGTTGTATTAGTGTATGGAATTTGATCAGAATATCTTGAAAAGTGATACAGTTGAATTGCTAACATCAGTATGTATCAGCATATGAAGTTGAAAAAATATTATAAATGGTTTCTTTAAAACTGACTTAAAAAACAATTTGATAAAAGTGAGATTCAGGTCAAATGAAAGGTCAAAGGTAAAAAAAATGTTTATACGGTTGAATTTCTTACATCAGTATGTATCAGCATGTAAAGTTTGACACTGATTTAAGAAAAGTGAGGTCAAGGTCAAATGTTGATGCAGTTACATATCTCTCATCAATATGTATCAACAATCAAATGTTGATGCAGTTACATATCTCTCATCAATATGTATCAACAAATGAAGTTTGATAAAAATAACTAGAATAGTATCTATAAAATTGAGCTAAACACTGATTAAAGATAAGTGAGATCAAGGTCAAAGGAAAGGTCAAGGTCAAAATTGTGATGCAGTTGAACAGCTCTCATCAGTATATATTAACATGTGAAGTTTGATAACACCATCTTGAATGGTATGTTTAAAACTGATCAAAACACTAATGTAGGAAAAAGTTTGGTCAAGGTGAAATGAAAGGTCAAGGTCAAAAAATGTTGATGCAGTTGCATAGCTCTTATCAACATCTATCAATAAATGGAGTATGAAATTTTATGAAAATATCTTGGATAGTTTCTTTGAAACTGAGCTTTGAACAGAGCTTAACGCATAGTGTGACGGAAGGACAGACGGAAGGACGGACATGACAAACACTATATTCCCCTGCCATATGCATGGCGGGGCATAAAAATACTTCTAACGGCAAATCATTCTTACTTGGTCCAGCATTGTTTTTAACCTATTTTGACTATGCTGAACCCCCCCCCCCCACCGCCAAAATATGCTGACCTTCATGAAAACGGCATTAAACAGGTCGAAATGGCGATTCAAAATAGCGGACATCCAATTTTTCTAATTTTTTTTTACTGCCGTTCAAATAGGAGAAAGAATGTGTAAATATCTCATTGAGTGTAATGCAACTATACAAATGATAAAAG